CCTAGAGGACTGAAGATCAGACCCAGAGGCTCAGCTTTATCAGCCAACCATTTTTTTTGATATCTTCTTTTAGCTGTAATAACTCTGATGCTTACCTTGAAAAAATCCCTCAAGTTTTTGCATACACTTTGCATGATATATTGAAAGAGTGATGAATTTGGAATCAGTAAGACCTGATTTCTGACTTGCTGTTTAACTATGGGCAAGTTCCTTTAGTTTCTTGGAGCTTGTTTCCTCATCTGTAAAATGGTTGTATTACTTGTAGTACCCATCCCAGAAGAGTGTTGTGATGCATAAACTATATCAAACTGCCTACATTTTCAGAAGAGGGGAGAGATAAGAGGGAGCGAGAAAAATTTGAAACTCAAAATCTTATAAAAATGAGTGCTAAAAATTTTCTTGGCATGTAACTGGGGAAAAAAATTCAAAACTTAAAAAAAGTGTTGTGAGATTCAAATGAGATTATGTATATAGCATGCTATATAAAAATCAGTTTTGGGACTTGGAGTTTCACTTTGGGACTGAGTTTCACTTTCATCTCCAACAAGTACTAGCCATAGCCAGATAACCAGATCATTTAACCTGAGACCCAGATGACACATCTCTAAAAGAGTTATAAATAATGGTAACCTACATTACAGGGTTGTTGTGAAGATCAGATGAAATTTTATATATATATATATATATATATATATATATATATATATATATATATATATATATATATATATATACATATATATATATATATATATATATATATATACAATGCTTTGCAGACTTTAAAGTACTAAAATAAGTAAGCTATGACCTTTTGAGTCTATCATTATTATTGTTATTATTATTATTATTATTATTATTTCAAAGTACCTGCTAGCATCATGATTATACCATGCCTTATCTAAACTTTGTATTTCCCCCAGCTCCTACCATCAATGCTCATTCAACACACAGGAGATGCTTAATAAATTTTGTTGAATTAGATAGTGAATCTAACCAGAAATGTACACATCCATAAATACTCTTTGTGCCTCAGAATTCTTTATGTATGTGGATTTGGGGGTGCTAGCTATTCCTCCAATGCCACAGAGTAGTGAGACACAATCCATTGTAATCACTACCCATTGCAAACAGATGCTAGCTGTTTGACCATAGAAAGCTATCCCATTTGCCTGGTCCTATTTGATTTACAACACTGGTGTATGACTCTAGGGTTAAAATTCATGGAAACCAATCCTGGACCCAGTCCACATGGGCTGCTCACAGACTTTAATCTGGCACAATAAGATTTGCCCCTTTTTGGTTATATACTAAGGGCACTAATCACACTGTGTCAATCTTAAACACCATTTTTAATAATATTTAGGAAACCTCAGGAATTCATCTTGCAAAAATACTTCTCTTATTTTTGCTATACATGTATATTTCACAAGGTATAGAAACCTAGACATAAATTTATCCTTACAAATTATGATTTTTAAAATGTATTTATATTTATTTACAGTAAGTCATCCTGGCTTCCCACCTCCCTCCCCAATGAGACATTGGCCAGGTCCTGCTGATTTTTCAGATGTCTTTGAATCCATCCCTTCTTTTCTATTCCTATGGCTATCACTCTACTTTGATGTCTTCGTCATTGCCCACCTGAACTACTGGAATAGCTTTCTAAATGGTTTCAGCTGCTACCATTCTTTCCTTCCTCTCAACTATTTTCCAACCTGATGCCAGATTAGCCTTCCTAAATATCATTTTCTCATGTAATTTCCCTTCCCAGAACTCTTCCTATTGCTTCTCACTATCTAGGATACAATCTAAATGCTCTTCATGTCCATCTTGCCAGGAGCTTCCTGCCACAAATGCCCTACTCTCACTAAATACAATTTTCCCCATTGCTTTTTTTCTTTCTTGGATGCTTTTTGTACATTATCTCTGTCTGGAATACCTCCTTTCTTTTCTCCCAGTATCAAAATCTAGAACTTTCTTTAAGTCCTAGTTCAACTCATAACCTTTCTCAAAACGCTTTTTCTTTTCTTTTTTGTTTTTAGTCATAATTTCTTCCCTTCTTTGAACTCCTATAGCACTTTACACCTCTCCCACTCTTGTGGCTCTTCTCATTTTCAGTCTAGCACCCTAAACAGTCTTTTCCCTGAGCTTATCTCCTCCCCTACTAGTCTATAAACTCTTCAGAGACAGGCACTAAGGCCTCTGCTCTTTGAATCCTCCACAGCAAATGATGCAATGACTTACATATAAGTGCTCAATAAATTTGTGTCTGAATAATATGGAGAGATGCCTAAAAGAAATGGGTTTTTCTGGCCCAGCAAAGAGTAGATGGAGAGGGGATGTTGATTGACAACCAGGTATACTGGTTGACACCAAGATTTTATTATAATTTTACTCTGAAATAAAAATTTTTATCCTATCTCTATTTGCCTTATGGATTTTTAAAAAATGCACTATCAATTGACCCAGCTTGATCCTTTGTATCCTTAAATTCTAGCCCTTCTAAAGATCATCATATGAATGTTTCCCCTGAAGGCAGGATAAGAAGCATAGGTTTATAGAAATAGATGAACATATTTATGTGGGAGTATAAGACAAGATTTGAAATGGGAAGGTATCATGGATTTTTGTTCATAGACTTTTAAGGAAAAAGGAAAGAAAAGGAAAAGGATTTTTGGGAAGGGTGTGAATTTTAAGGAACTGTTTGAATCAGCACTACATGGAGTCAATGGGTTAGACTAAGAGGCCTTTCAAGGTTTTCTTCTAAGACTATGATTGAACAATTTTTGTTAACTTCAGAATATACTCAATTCAATTCAGCAAGCTTACCAAGCGACTACTCTGTGCAAGGCACCCTACCAGGTGTTGGGGATACAAAGACAAAAAGAAAGTCCCTGACTTCAAGGAACTTAAGTTCTTTTGGGAGGATACAACAGATACATAGATAAATTAGTACAAAATATAGTCAAAGCCAATGCAAAGCAACTTTTGGAGAGGAGAGTAGAATGACCCGGGGGATCAGAAAAGGCCTCATATAGAGTAGGAGGTGGCATCTGAGTGCAGATTTGAAAGGAAAGTATTCTGCACAGGGTGGACAGCCAGTGCAAAGCCACTGAACTGGGAGATGGACCATGATGTGAAAGGAACAACAACTAGGCCATTTGAGCTAAATTTTAGTGGCCAAAAAGTACAAGGAATGTGAAATCATTCTAGAAAGCATTCAAATTACAAAGGACTTTAAAGGCTAAACAGAGGAATTTGTACTTTATCCTAGAGGCACTGGGGAGCTCTGAAGTTTCTTAACCAGGTCAGACCTGTGCTTTAGGAATATTAATTTGGCAACTGAATGCAAGTTGATTGGAGAGGGGTGAGACCGACTAAAGGGAGAGGTGATGAGAGGTAAGGAGAGGCTGGACTGGAGTGTCCAGTTGCGTGACCTGAGAGGAGGGGATGTACATGAGGTGTTGCAGAAGTGGGCTAGACAAAACTTGGCAATTGATTAGATGGGGAACTGGGGATGAGAAAGAGAGAGGAGTGAAAGATAACTCAAAGGTTTCTAACCCAGGTGACTGGAAGGATGATGGTGTCCTCAACCCAAATAAGAAAGCTAGGAAGAGGGGCAAGTTTAGGGAGAAATAAAATGAGTTCTATTTTGGACATAATGAGTTTGAGATGCATACATGCAAAACTTTGAGAGATATTCCTTTCCTTTTCCTGTAAAGAAAAATAACCAAATTTAACTTTTCACTGCTATCTTGTAATAGTCTAAAGATACAGGAAGACCAGAAGATGGTAAGATTTACAGTTGTAAGGCACCTTAGGAATCATATTGTCCAACCACCTCATTTTACAGATAAGAACACTGAAACCCAGAAAGGCTAAGGAAACTGTCCCAGATCACACAGGCAGTTAAGCAGCAAGCCAGCATTAAGTTCAAGATCCTCCAACTCGAAAGTCTAGCACTCTTTCCATTTTAATGCAGCTGTCTCCTAAAGTATGAGTTTGGTTTAACATGAAATAAAGCACTTTCCCAAAAAACCTTTCAAAAGTTATATAGTGGGTTTTTTCACCATCACTTAGGAAAATATCTGAAATTATTCATTTACAGATATAGAACCATAGAGGTGTTAAAAGCCCCAAGAACTTACCTAATACCTCCAAACCCAAACACCAAATTGTAACAAGATGGTAATTAGTCCTTAAAATTAAATGCTCTAGTGAAATAATATATAGATTGTCCCAAACCTTAGGTTCAGGCTTGAGTCAGTTTTGACCTGTCAGTACTCTTAATAACTATCATTGAGAATCATTCTAAGAAACACACATTTTCTATGAACATCATGGCAGTTTAAATGAATAATTACAACTTCTAAAATAGCCCTATAGGAGTATGGCTATTAGAAATTATCTTATCCAAATCTTTCACTTCACAAAAGAGGAAATCTGTCTGGAAAGTTACTTTGTTTTGTGAAAATCCAAAGAAGAATGAGTGCAAATGCAATTATAAGCCAACATGATTAAGAGCTTATAAATAACTTATTTTCCATAAAGTCTTAAGTTCAAGTACATTCTTAAATTACATTACTGCTTAATTACAAATGTGTGATATTAAGACCTCTTGCTGGCAGAATCATTAAATTGTAGGATTTTAAGGCTGGAAGGGAGTGACCCTTGGTCATTTAACCCAACCCTTTCATTTAACAAATGAAGAAACTGAGGCCCAGAAAAACTGGGATACTTGTTGCCACTATTTTGCTTTAAAAACTATTGGCTATTTTGGAGAAAGAAATAAAAATCACCTAATTTTTAAAAACAAGCCAAAAATAGAAACACAAATAAGCTTTAAATTTTACTCTGTAAGAAAAAAAAAAGACTTTTCAACATTTATCCCTCTAATCTCAGTTGCCAAACTAGTTCAAAGTACATGTTCATCTTTTTTTTTTCAAAGTTCATGTTCCTTAAAGGAGTAAAGAAAATAGGATCTGTGGCTTACTTACCCAGTGTTCGTCTAGCATGAATAAGAATAAGGGAAAAAGGCCACTCTCTTCCTGATTTTATGACTTTTCACCACTATTTTTCTCTCTCCCGACTTATGGTCCCTCTTTTCACCCCCAGGATCACATGAAAGCGAGCGTTCTATAAATGTGAGTTGGCTTAAGGTTGAGAACACTATGCTGGATGGCGGCGAGGTGTAAGGAATCTGACCCTGGGAGCTTTACTGCTGTGACACGTCAGTTCTCAAAAGGAATTTTCAGTCGCAAGATGAGAATAACACCAGAGGCAGCAAGCTCTCAGGTACAGCTGAGGGGGGACTATTCCTTTTCTCGGACTGTATATTTAGGAAAATTGTGCCGCCCCTTTGGAGAACGAAGGTATCCTGGACAACCTTCTGCGGGAAGATTCACTGAAACTGCCCTGTTCTTTGACTTGGCCAAATTGTGCATTAAACGAAGACTGGAGGGGTGGGGGTGGGAGTGCAGGAGGGCTGGGGAAGAAACAACCAACCTGGAAAGTTAATAGATCTCCTGATATGCAGTGGCAGGTCAGGCTGGCCCTGCAGGCGCCTGTAAGTTTCATAAAACAGGGCAGTTGTCTTTTTCTTGGAATACGTTAAATAAATCCCTCTTCAATGAACTCTAAAAAGTCAACCTATCTTACTGAAAATGTTTAGGCTTTTAAAACTTCTAGTGCCATATTTTTTTGGCCCCAGCCTAGGAGGTAGCATTGATCTGAGTTCGAATATTGCCTCTGACACTTGCTAGCTATGTGACTATACACAAGGCATTCAGCCTGTCTGATCTTTAGGTAACCTTCTAAGACTATAAATAGATTTTATTTCTGGACAATTGAAAAGAATTTCCATACTGTGTTATAACATGATTTTTTTTACTGGCCTCATAATTTCTTTTTTGTTTTAAAACATTTTATTGATATCTTTTCAAATCAATAAGTATTTAAGTACTTACTATGTGCTAAGTGTACAAAGAAAGGCAAAAATAGTCTAGCCTTCAAGAAATTTATATTCTATTTTTTTTGAGGGGGGAGGAGGTTACCATTTTTTATTCTGAACTTAAGAAATAAAACAGCCATTTCCATAACAAAGTAGAATAGAAAAACAGAAGATTGCACCCAAAATTGCAGATATATTATGTATAATTGCTCTTCCTTTCAAATATACAACAAAGTTATCATGTAACTTTCTTTTTTCTCCCCCTCCATCCCCCAAATCCCATCCTAGAGATAGCTACCATTACACAAAATATATCTATCTATACACACACATATACACACACATATATACATTCACATATACACACATATATATGTATGTGTATGTGTGTGTATACACACACACACACATTTGTAATTGAATGGCCTGGCTGCTCAAAGCTGTTCTTAAAACAAAAATTGCCATTACTATATATAGTGTTCTCTTAGTTCTGCTCATTTTGCTCCTCATTATTTCGTGGAGGTCTCTCCATGCTTTTCTAAAATCATCAAGCTCATCTTTTCTTAGAGCAGAGTAATATTCTGTCAAGAACATATACCACAATTTGTTTAGCTATTCCCTAATTGATGGGCATTTCCCCAATTTCCTGTTCTTTGCTTCCACAAAAAGAGCTGCTATAAACATTTTAGAACATATAGGTTCTTTTCCTTTTTCCCTAATCACCTTGGGAAACAGACCTAATAGTGGTATTGCTGGCTCAAAGAGTATAGGCAGTTTTATAACTCTTTGGGTATAATTCCAAATCTCTGTCCAAAATGGTTGGATCAGCTCACAGATCCACCAACAATGAATTAAGGTCCCAATTTTTCCGTATCCCTTCCAATACTTGTCACTTCCCCCTTCTATCATTTTAGCCAATCAGTGTAAAATGGTATCTTATGCTTTCATACGATTTACATTCCCAATCTGTTCTTGTGACTTAATCACTCAGTGTTCCTCAAGCTCAAATAAACACAGAAAAAAGACCACTCTTTCTGATTTTGTAACTTTTAAAAATTTTTTCTTTTTCCCTACTCATGATTCCTTATTCACCCTAGGATCACATGAAAGCATTCTATAAATGTGGGTTGGTTTAGGGTTAAAAACTATGCTAGAGGGAATATCTCCTCCCAGAGAACTACCCCTTATAACAAAGAAGAAAAAAGAAAAAAAATTTCAGCAAAGTTTACACATCAAAAAAGTCTAATATTACATACAAGGTTGTAGACCTAGGAGAGGAGCCTTCTCATATTTCTTCTTCAGGGTCAGGCTTCTTATTGTTCAGTTGTTCAGTCATGTCTGACTCTTAGTGACCTTATTTGGGGTTTCCTTGGCAAAGACATTGCAATGGTTTGCCATTTCCTTCTCCAGCTCATTTTACAGATGAGGAGACTGAGGCAAACAGGGTTAAGTGACTTTTTCACTAGTAAGTATCCATGGTCAGGCTTAGTCCTTTATCATTTCACTGCATTCAGCTTGAATTATTTTGTTGCTGTTGTAATTTTCATTTACACTATTATAATCATGTATATTGTTTTCATAGTTCTGCCTACTTCGCTTAGCATCAGTTCATATGTCTTCCTGTATTTCTCAATATTTGTCATATTCAGTGATTCTTAGTGCAGAGTAATAATCTATTACATTCATGTAATAGGCATCAATCAATAGGCACCTACATTTCTTCTTCTTTTTTTAACTACTACAAAAAGTACTGCTAAAAATATTTTGTGGTACACAGGGTCTTTCTTTCTGCCATTGAGTTCCTTGGGCTATATGCCTAGGGATGGAATCTCTGGGTCATCCTGGAGTGTTCACACTTTAGTCACTTTCTTAGCATGTTTTCAAATTGCTTTCCAGAGTGGTTGGACTAATTTACATACCCAGCAACTGCGAATTACTGTGCCTTTCTTTCTACAAACACTCCAACATCAAATTCCCATCTTTTTGGACTTGTAATTTCAGCTAGGTGGCACAGTGGATAGAGCACTAAAGTCAAGAAGACCTGAATTCAAATTTGGCTTTAGATACTTATTAGCTGTGTGACTCTGGGCAAGTCCCTTCACCCTGTTTGCCTCAGTTTCCCCATCTGTAAAATGAGCTGAAGAAGGAACAATATCTCTGCCAAGAAAACCCCAAATTGGGGTCATGAAGAGTTGGATGTGACTGAAAACAACTCAACAACAACAACAACACTTTCATTGATATAGTAAACTCCTGGTAAGGAAATTTTCTCTACTGATAGAGTTGGGGACTAGGATACTGAGAGGTTAAGTGACTTCCCAGGAACACACAACCAGCATATACTATAGGTAAAACTTGAATCCAGGTTTTCCTGACCCTGACTTAGCAATCTATCAACTGTGCCATGCTGCCTCCTGGTATATTAAGTACTTTAAATGATTGGAAGTTTAAAGGATTTGGTTGGGATATTAAAGAGGCCATGATCCTTAAGAAGATAAGCTTTAAGATTATAACCATTTAAGACTGTGAGGTTCTAAAATGTCTAATAATTAGAGCATTTGACCACATGTCAGTAATGCGTCTGCCATTCATTTGCTCTGTAATCTTGGGTAAGCACTAACTTTGCTGAGTCTGTTTTTCTCATCCGTTAAATGGAAACACTAATGCTTGACCAGTTTACCTCACAGGGTTGTTAAAAGGCTCACATTCAATTATATTTGGTAAATTCTTTTAGTCTAGTGAAGCAAATGTGAAGTACTATTATTTGAATGTATAGACTATAACATAAATAATAGAGCAAGTGTAACAGTGATCATATACTAAACAATAAACATGACCATTTTAAAGTCTGGGTTTTTCTTTCCTTTGGTTAAGATGATTTTAAAAAATATTTTTTTTCAGGGAGGAAAAATGAAATTCCAGGTGCCACTTGGAAGTACTTTGAAGGACTGATTTATTAGTAATGTTTTTAGGTCTCTTATCCCGACTACAAGATATGCAGTTAAATTGACAATCTATAGAATTTGTCTATCACAGAATCTTCTGAGCTTAACAGCCTTTTAATCCAACCTATACCTGAAAGAGCATCCCTTTGACAACATACCAGACCAAATGGCTATCCAGGCAGACAGTGAAAATGCACCGTCTCTAACATAATAGGGAGCAATACACGAGATCCTTTTCTTCTTTTAAATTTTTCTTTATTTAATTTTTTATTTATGGAATAAAAATAAGCATTTCCATAACATAGTATAATAAAAGAAAGATGATCACAAATGAAACTGCACATCTACTATGTACAACTTGCTATTCCTTTTAAATATATAATAAAGTTATCAAGAAAATGTATTTTTTTCTTCTTTCCCCCCTACCCTAGGGAGGGCTACCATTAAACATAAATATGTGTGTGTATATATGTATATATATATATATGTATATATATATGTATATATGTATATATATATATATATATACACACATACATATGTAAAATCATTCTAGACATAACTTCTATTTATCAATTCTTTTTCTGGATGCAGATAGTCTTTCTTCATATGTCCTTTGTAGTCATTTTGGGTATTCATAATAGTCAAAATAATTTTGATTCAACTCAAAGTTGTTCTTCTGAACAGGAAGAGCAATTTAGGAGATAATTGGAAAGTGGAGGTAGCAAGGGAGGACACTGAAGGGTGGAAAGGATAAGGAATAGAGTGTAGAGCTCTGTTTCACAGCACAGTGAACATGGATCAGGGCAAGAAGGAGAGTCCATATGCTTCTCTGATCCATAGCTTTGGTAGCTATTGTAATATACTGCTGTAGTGCTAAAGGAGCTAACAGGTACATAGTAGGAGCAGACAACAGTCACTGCCTTTCCCATCAAAACATGCCAGCCCTTTAGGCTTGAAAAATAATGTCTGGGCTCAGAACTGAACACAAGAAGAGCAGCCTGGAATGTCTTTGAGAAATTGCAAAATTGAAGATGGCGGAATGAAAAGGTAGTCACTCCCACCCTCCCCTATCAACCTCTGAAAACCCAGAAAATATCACCCTAGAAAAAAAAAACAAAACTCTGGAACAGCTGAGCTAGAAGAAAGATGGGGAACAGCAGTGCAGCAACCCAGCAAACGGGTCTCCCAGTGCCTCAGCAAAAGCAGCACTACAAAGGGCCCCAGGCGG